GTGGTCATCCTAACTGGTGTGAGGTGATATCTCATTGTGGTTTTAATTTGCATTTCTCTGATGATTAGCAATGTGGAGCATCTTTTCATGTGCCTGTTGGCCATCTGAATTTCTTCTTTGGAGAAGTGTTCAGATCCTCTGCCCATTTTTTAATTGGATTATTTGCTTTTTGTTTGTTAAGGTGCGTGATCTCTTTATATATTTTGGATGTCAACCCCTTATCGGATATGTCATTTATGAATATATTCTCCCATACTGTAGGATACCTTTTTGTTCTATTGATGGTATCCTTTGCTGTATGGAAGCTTTTCAGCTTGGTATAGTTCCACTTGTTCATTTTTGCTTTTGTTTCCCTTGTCCAGGGAGATATGTTCATGAAAAAGTTGCTCATGTTTATGTCCAAGAGATTTTTGCCTTTGTTTTTTTTCTAAGAGTTTTATGGTTTCATGACTTACATTTAGGTCTTTGATCCATTTCGAATTTACTTTTGTGTATGGGGTTAGAGAGTGATCCAGTTTTATTCTCTTACATGTAGCTGTCCAATTTTGCCAACACCAGCTGTTGAAGAGGCTGTCATTTCCACATTGTATATCCATGACTCCTTTATCGTATATTAATTGACCATGTATGTTTGGGTTAATATCTGGACTCTCTATTCTGTTCCACTGGTCTGTTCACCCGATTTAGTTTGGCCACCTACATAGGCTCTCATCAAACTTATTTTTACTCTTCGAGATGACAAGGCACTATTTAAAAAATCATTTATCTGAAAGTATTTGCATGCATTTTATTTTTTCAAGAAGGTTGTTCTTGCCCATTTTTAAGTTCTTCTGAAGGGTCCCAAATGTAGTGCAAAGGACAGATTTGGGGGAAAAGGAGACACCTTCAAATCTTAGCCCATCACATTAGAGCTGTGTGACCCTGGGCAGATGCCACAGCTTCTGTGAGCACTGGGGGAGATTACAAAAAATCCTGGTGGAGAGAGTCTGGGAGAGTGCTCAGATAACAGGGTCTTGGAGAAAAAACCAGCCCCGTCTTTCCCCTCCTGTAGTCTGGGGATGGCCTGGGCGATATATACATGTAGCTTGCTTCTCCAGTGTCCATTGTATTTTAAGTTTGTTCTAAATAAAAGTAACATATGTCATATATTTAGGTTGGCTTAGGATCCTTTTTGACTATAGCCTTCAACCTTTCTTCCTTCCTGGAGGTAACAACGGTTATCAGTTTGGGGTGAATCATACAAGGCTTTTTTTCTAGGTATTTTTGTATATAAATATGTACCCTTAGAAAATGTATGATAGTGTTTATGTTTTAATTTTTTAAATGTCATTTTATGTATTGTTCTGCATCTTGCTTTTTTCACTCAATGTGTCTCCCATGGTATATAATTTATTTCATTGTTTTACCTACATACTGTTCTTTAATATGAATAAACCATGATTCATTTTATATGGATAAACCCTAACTTAGTACTCAGATCGCTACTGGGTTGTTAGAAATAGAACTGCAGCAAACTTCTTTGTGTGAGCTCATCTGTGAGCCATCATAGATACTGAGGAGTAAAATTGTGGTGTTTATAGGGCATGTGCTAAATATTTGTAATAGACACTCCCAATTTGCTCTTCAGAGTGGCTGTACCAGTTCACGTTCCCACTGGCAAAGGGTGTGGCTCTTCCCCCCACACTGCCAACAATTGATGCTAAAAGACATAAATTAAAAAAAAATTCTAGTCAAAGCTGAGTATCTTGTTTTAATGTACATTTTCCTGATTAGTAGTGAGATCAGCTATCTTTTCATAAGCTTATTGGCCTTTTGTATTTGCTTTTGTGTGAGATACCTGCCCATATCCTTTGCCCATTTTTATTTTAGGCTGTTATTTTCTTACTGATTTTATAGGATTTCTTTAGTTTCATACTTTGCTTTATATCCAGGAGCAATGTCTCTTCTTTTCACAATTGTCTTGACTATTGCACCTTTCTCTTTGACACATTTAAAATTTTAGAATCTGCTTTTCTGGTTCAGTGAATAATCCTGTTGAATTTGATATTGCTTTAGTTACTACAGGTAATGTAGGGAGAAGTATATGTATTTTACTAACACTTTGTTTATCTTCCTCAGCCTGATATGCCTATTCTGAATTAAATCATTTGTGTAATGCTGCTGTTATGTGATAAGAATTAAAATAGCTTAGCTTATTGTGTGTCTCATTTTCTTTTTTTTTTGTTTTGTGTTGTTTTTTATTTAAATTTTACATATGTAGAACCATGCAACGTGGACTCATTTGTGTCTGGCTCCTTTCACACGACTCTGTGTCTGACAGATCCAACCAGGTGGTCGGACCTAACTAACATAATTTAGGGTGTGATGTTGGTCAGTTGTACTCTTTGAACAAATCATCTCATGTGGGAACAAACTGTGGCGTATCGGGAGGCACGTAGCATTGCTCCTGGGCAGACATCCCCTGGTTGTCCATGAAGGGATGTGGGGCAGTCCCTCCAGTGAGTCCACGCCGACAAAGCGGTGGAGGCAGTTTCCCAGTGCTGCCTTCATCACAGCCTAGCCACGGCTGGCATTCCATGGCTGGAAATAGGTGCACATCTGTGAGCTTCCTCCCGGGCAGTGTCTGTGCCCTCATATGGCTTAGTACATGCCAGACACTTTGTCCTGCTATACCAGCAGCCTGCGGGCAGAGTGATGAAGTATGCACACCGCCGGGGCCGCTGTCTGGTTATCGAAGCTATCAGGTCTGGCCTGGGTTCCCGAGGATTTTCCTGCCTGTAAAAGACTTGCTTGATAAAATGGGAGACTGGTGGATGAGGTATAGATGTCTGCTCTCTTCACCAACTCTTGTAGGACTTCCGTGTCTTATCCTGGTGTATTTTCATGAAGATCTTTAAGGCACTCTTTAGATGCCTCCTGAATTAGGAGTCTGGAAATCTAATAGCCCTGAGGCAGCAAAGCACAGCTGTGGTGGGGCTGTTTTAATGAGATGAGTGGAAGGCACAGCCGGGATTACACTGGGACTGAAGCAGTTCCTGGTGAGAAAAGTGGTTCGGGAGCCAAGGGGTGAGCACGTGGGTCAGTGCAGACATGACTAGTTAGGCGGGCTTTGTCTGGCTTCTGCCACTAATTAGCTGGTCATTTAACAAAGCCACTCAACAGCTTTGGACCTCAGATTCTGCCTTTGTTTTGAAAAGTGAAGTGGCTGTATTTCATGATCTGACGCCTTCCAGTCTAAAACAGTGTGTTTTCTAAAACTGAATGGAATATTCAACATTGCAGGGTGTTAATTGTCTCATTCTGATTATCTGGGCGGTCTTGCCATAATGCAGTAAACCTTCACTTAGAGAGTTGGAGACATTTACATCTGGTGGAGGCTTTTACAAGTCAAGAAAACAGACTCTAAATGTGCAGATGACTTATTCGAGGACGTCCAGATGGTTATCTGAAAAAACTAACCTGTTACACCCCGAATCTCAGGTGCCCAGTTCTGAGATCTATTCAGTAGTTTCTCAGAAGAATCGCCTAGAAAATTACCTCCTTTCCTCGAAATCCTGATCCCACTGGATTATAGAATCAGGACTGTACTCCATAGAACTTTTGAAAACTTGCTAGACCAGCGGGAATGGTTTTACATTAGCTGCTGCCATCAGCTCCTTTTTTTATATTAAGGTGTCATTGATACACATTCGTGTTTCATGCGGTCTGGCGTAGCCTTTTGTGTTGCTCTTTTAGGATTAGTTGTATTAACTATATTTTCATATTATATGTGGTTTTGGGAGGGGTTCTTTGTCTCACCTCTCACGCCGCCATCTTTAATCTCCTCATTTTCTTTTAAAGTAATTGTCATCTCCTTTAGCATATTTCTTTTCTAAATACATGTGATCTGAACTGTTACAAAGGGATACTGGTGGGGTATGCAGTAGTGGGTGGGAAAATTCTATCATTTCTGTGTCTTGTTTCTCCAGCAATCCCCAAAGTGAGACTGGAGACGATCTACATTTGCGGAGTAGATGAGATGAGTACCCAGGATATCTTTTCCTATTTTAAAGAATATCCTCCAGCTCACATTGAATGGTTGGATGATACCTCTTGTAAGTACACCCAAGTTTCCTGTTGAATATGCTTCTGTTTACAATTTTAAAAGCGTTCTTACCATCTCAGATGGTAAATGATTATGGCTCACACTCTGTGTCTAACCTCTGCCCTAGCCTAGGAGAGGGAAAATTGCCTGAAGATTAGCACAGAATGCCTTAACCAGTATTCCAGGGCAGTGCAGAGGTGGTGACCAAGTCTCTAGGAGGTGGCTGCTGGCATCTGAGTCCAGTGTACATGATAGAGGCCTCTTTAGCTCTACAATTTCCCAGCAAAGGAGGGGATCCAACTGTATAGACATGGGGCTGCGTTTTCAAGGCTTTAAACTTTGTCATTGCAACTTGTCATACAGCTGTTCAGCAGGCTAGCCTGCCTCATTGCCTCTGTCTGAGAACTGAACCAGAACCTCTGACACTGTATCAGCCCTCTCACTCCTGCTTGCTTTGGAACTTCACCGGCTTGCCCTAACCCGTGAACTGCCCGATTTGTGACCTAATGGTGATTTTTAACTTAACCTTCCCGTGTCAAGTCCAGCCTGGCCTCTGCTAGCCACTTTGCTGGCTTCTTGTCTTGACTCACTTCTAGTCTGGCTTTACCTACTGCCAGCTTGCTGACCTGCTGGGTTACCCCAGGTAGCAGCCTGATTTTCCTAGTTGCTTTCTTTAGAAAGTGATTCAGTGTTTTCATTGAAAGAAGAAGAAACATTGACTGATGTGTGGGTGTATTTTCCTACATATATATATATGTATGTATATGAATAACAGTAGCAATATTATACACAGCAGTAATAGTAGCATAACTCCATTTGGGTTCCTGGACCCAATTCCAATGTCTGTGTGTGGGGGGGTCTCCCCCCTCCACACCACCAAGAAATTCTCCAACACCAGCAGGGTGTCCGAGAACTCAATTCTGATGCTATCTGCCTGAAAACAGCACCAGATTCCCCAGGTTAAGGGCTCCATCCTACAAGACGGTCCTCCATCCCCCCACTCCAGATGCCAGTCACAAGCCCCAGTCAGTCCCACTACCTTTTCCTTAGTTTCAGTTAATTTGCTAGAGTGGCCCACAGATCTCAGGAAGACACTTATATTTACCAGTTTTATAAAGGATACAAATTAACAGCCAGATGAAGAGAGACATAGGGCAAGGTCCCAAATAAAGGAGTGTCGGTCCTCGTGGAGCTTGGGTCCTTGCTCGGTGCACGTGGAGGTGTTCTGGTTCCCTAAGCGTAGAAGCTCTCCCCGACTGAGAGAAGCAGAATCCAACAGAGCGATAAGCTCTCCTTGGGGTTTTGTGAGGGCTTCATTGCTTGGTCATGATTGACTAAATTATTGGCCATTGACTGATGCAGTCTGGTCCAGAGTCTCTCATTAACATGCCAAAACACCCGTTTCACCTTTAAGACTGTAGTGTTTTCAGGAACTGTGGATGAAGATCAAATACACCTAGGAAATATATATTTGGTCAAATGAATGGCCAAATATGTATTTCTTATGACTCATTTTATCACAACTGAGTAACAGATTTTTCTTCTTTATCCTTTTTGCTTAACTTACACCATCCAAATCAGGGGTTGGCAAATCTTTTTCTATAAAGGGTTGAGTGGTAAATATTTTAGGTTTTGCAGCCTGTACATCTCTGTTTCATCTCCTCGACTCCACCATTGCAGCATGAAAGCTGACAGTACGTGATTGTCTATGAGCCTGACCATTTTCCATGGAACGTTATTTACAGAAATGTGATTGTGTAATTTTTTTATATTAATTATAGGTAAATAAAGTTGGTACAGAAATAACCAAGCAGTAAATAGACAGGTGGTAGGTTGGATTTGGCCTTGGGGTTATAGTTTGCAAATCTTTGATTTGAGTCGTTGAAATGATAGCTAACAGGATGTTAGAGTTAGAAGGACTCCTGGAATTAATTACCCAATTCAACCAGCTCATATTACAGAGAAGGGAAGTTGCTCAAGCCCAGGTGGCACGTTAATAACAAAGATGAGAATCTTTAGGCCTTAGTTTTTTAAACTGAGGTGTAAAATTAAAGTAAGATTGAGAAATGCTGTTTTAAACAGAGTAAAACAGATCTCTTTTCTACAAGATTCTTCAAAAACTTTTTCTTACCAAATTCTGTTACTTAAAGAAGTAAATTGAGTAAGTTGCTACAAAGCCAAGGGGCTGTCATGCCTCCATGTTATCTATCCCATGGATACCTTCATCACCCACAGTTCTCAGTGGCAAAACATCATTTAGCATGTCTGAGTGACAAGATACAGCAGAGAGCTTCCCTGTAGGGGGCAGTAGTATAAAGGATATTCCAAGTTTATTTGACCACCACCATCATCATCAAAAACCGCTGACGTATTCTGGCACTCACTGCATGTCAGGCAGTTTTAATATAGAATGAAATACTTGACCATCACTTGTGGAACCCAGTTTTGGCATGTAGCTCTGGCTAACTTCATCAAAGAGGTTTTACTATCACTTTCTGAACTTGTTTTATTAGTTGGTTTATACATTTTACTGGTGCCAGTCTGCAGCTAGATGAGGCTGGAGCAGTGAATACGATGCAGTCTCTGTTGCCCAGTAATTGTTTGGATGCAGTGTAACATTTTTTATTTTACATTTTATTTTAGGTAATGTGGTTTGGCTGGATGAAATGACAGCCACCCGAGCCCTTATCAATATGAGCTCTCTGCCAGCCCTGGATAAGATAAGAAGCAGGGATGCCAATGAGGACAGGTCATCTGAGAAAAGTAAAAAAGGTAACTGAACACAAAGGATGGACTTCAGGGCTAAAAGTCCTTTTGTTTACACAGTTTGAGTTACTGTACAGCGAATTATATAGCATGTCATTGTCAGTTATTTCAGAAGTGGGTCCTCAGGAAATAGGAGGAGAAAACATTAGACATCTGAATTGTTTGAGATGGAGTTATGTTAAGGTTCATCTTGTCCCTCACATTCCATTTTAGATAAGCAGGAAGACAGCTCAGATGATGATGGGGCTGAAGAAGGAGAAGTTGAAGATGAGAACTCAAGTGATGTTGAGGTTAGTAATAGGGCAAAGAATATGTAAGGTTTTACTATAAAAACTGCTTATTGTCTTTTTATTTAAAGCTTAAAGACTTAGTAAGTTGTGTGCTTCCTCTGCCTTTTACCAGTAGGCCTTCTGAAGGTACACCAGCCTCTCGGCCCTTAAGTTCCTGTGGCTGTAATAAATGATAGATACATCTTGAAATCTTAGACTAGCGTTCACGCTTGTGTATAAAAGAAAATGTTTTATTGAGAAATACTTTTGAATGGTATCTACTCAGGAAAAAAAGCAAGTAATGGCCTATTTCCTAATGGACTATATATGATTGTTGGAAATACTAAAATGTGTTCATTTTAAAAATATTTATTGAGTGCCTACTTTGTACCAAATACTAGGTGCTGGGGATATAGTGTCAAGCAAAACACAGTCCTTGCCCCGTTGGAGCCTATATCATAGTGGGGAAGACAGACAATACACAGATATGCAGATATGTAATGTAATGTCAGGAAGTAAGGGTGTTGTGAAGAAACGTAGGGAAAGTTAAGTGGATGGAGAGTGCTGGAGACTATTTTAAACAAGGTGGTCAGGGAAGACCTAACTTAGAAGCTCTGCAGAGGGACTGGTGCTGTACTGTTGATGAGTGTTACTACAGGTGGAATATGCCTTCTTAATCAATGGTAACTGAGTAAACACGGAAAAGGCTTTAATTTTTCTTTGAAAATACTCTTTTTTCTTAAGTTGGACACGTTGTCTCAGGTAGAAGAAGAGTCTCTGCTAAGAAACGACCTTCGTCCAGCCAACAAACTTGCTAAAGGCAATAGGTTGTTCATGAGATTTGCTACAAAAGGTAAATGTGATACTTGGTATTGATTTTTATTATTAATCACAGTGATTTATTATTATGTGAATCAGAATCTAATTTCTGATTTGAATCAGAAATTAGATCAAGTAATCTCAAGGCCCCTCTCAAACTATAATATTCTGCAGTGATGATTTGCTGTCTGAGTTGAATTTCAGACTTCGAGGGTGAATATTAGCTATTTGTATACTTTGGTGTTTCTGGCTAAAGTAAGTTTTCTAGTTTTCCATATGTGGTTTTCAGCCAGTTTATCATCTGAACTATGAAAATTTTTTAAATTGTATTTTTTTTAACTGATCAGAGCAGTAGCTTCCTGGACATCGCTAATAGTGCTATCAGCTCTGATTCTCTGAGAAATTAAATTAAAAGTCTCTTACAGTTCATATGGCTTCTTATACACAGTGAGTTTGGTGTGTCTTAAAAAATACAAATAGTGTTTTGAATCACTTGAGAATTAATTGGAGGTGGTAACATTTCACCCCTGAATACTTCCGTATGTATTTCTGAGAATAAGGGCTTTGTTTTTAATCAAAGTCATCAAAATCAGGAAATTTAACAATACAATGCTGTTAGCTAATCCATAGTGCACCTTCAGATTTCATCAGTTGTTTCGTTGATTTCCCCACTTTGTATATTAAAACTGCCTGGCACACACAGAGAGTGCTGCATAAGTGTTAGCAGCACTTGATGGTGGTGGTGATTGTCAAATGTATTTGGATTATTCTTTACACTACTCCCTCCTTAAACTCAGATCCACTCCAGGACTGAGAGGTTAAGGATGCCATGTCTCCATAGTCTCGCTGAATATGAGACTCCTCTACCTGGTTTTCCTTGACTTAAAAACATTCCTTCAAAAACATGTTTAAAGCATATAGGCTCATTATTTTACTGACTGCCCCTCAGTTTTGGTGTCTGATGTCTCCTGATTAAATCTGGGTTGTGCATCGGAGGGCAGGAATACCACAGAAGTGGTGCTGCGTCTTACCAGGAGGCACATGATATTTGTCCCATTCCCGGGGATGTTAACTTTTATCAATTGGTTAAGGTAAACTGTGCTAGGTTTCTTTACTGTAAAGTTACTCTTCCAATTGTAATTTGAAGATTTGTGAGGAGATATTTTGAGATTATGTAAACAGCCTGTTGCTCATCAGACTTGCACAAATAGCTTTAACAGCCATTGATGACTTTTTAACCCTCCATTTTTTTATTAGTTGGCAGTCTGCTGTAAGGAAAAGCTTTCTCTTTTTACCCATTTATTTATTTACTTATTTATATCAGTTTACACTCATGGAGCCTTGTTTTATTCAGTGGGTTATCATCCATTTAAATTGTCTTGGATTTGGCCAGGAGAGCCCCTTCACACTGTGTTCTTTTGAGATGCCTCCATGATTCTTTGAGCACTTAATTATTTTGTGGCACAGTAAAATGTCTTGTTTGCCCAGACTCAACTTACATCTTCCCTGCCCCAGATCTGGAATTGGCCATGTCTCCAAGGAGCTGGGGGGCCCTTTTTTTGTAGGTGTACCCCCTGGTTTATGCTGCCAAGTTTTCCCACAGCACTGGATATGTTTGCATTGGTGTTTATGCTTTGCAATCATTTGAGCGCCCAAGGAGCTGTCAAAGACCCTGACCACCTTTTCTTTCTGTTAACTGGCATTTCATCTCGACAAATGTGATTTTTTTCTCTAATTGTTCATTTGCATGGCTATTTGGGTGCATTGTGGATATATACTGCTCTGCTGTTTTCTTTAAGGTATTTTGAGGAACATCATGATAAACTGGAAAAAAAGGTTTACCAAATATATGGAATTGTGTGTGATCTGTTTCTTTAATACTGATTTTGTATTATTGGAGTGTTGTTATTCAGAAATGAGTATCAGCTTTGAGGAGGCAGTGAAAATGCCACCTTTTTTAGAAAGCTTTTTGATTCTTGAACACCTGTAATGACTGAAGCTCTCTCATGCTTCTGGGAACCTGGTATTTTATATTGTTTTTGTTTTTTAATGATATTTTCTCTAGTAAGTTGGCTCCTTCAGAGCATCTTAACCTCATGTATCCCTGTAGCTTGCTCCACCCTCTCCACAGTGTCAGAGACACTCAGAGGGACTGTTATTATGGTGCCTCTTTCCATTGTGTTGGCAGACTGCTCATCTGATCCCAGCTATGGAAACATTCTTTTTTTTTTAACTCTTCAACATTGTCTTCACACCCACAGGAAATCCTAGGTAACTGTTGCAATTAATTTTTAGATGACAAAAAGGAACTTGGAGCCGCCAGGAGAAGTCAGTATTACATGAAATATGGAAATCCAAATTACGGAGGCATGAAAGGAATTCTTAGTAATTCTTGGTGAGTCCAAAACCTTAACAATACAATAGTTTAAATAGTACTTAAACTTTTCTTAATCATTCAGTTGGTATTCTGCAGTGGAATGTCGACACCATGTGTGTGGACTTGAAAGAAGACAAGAAAGAATTCAAGATCCTTAACTGTGGTAAATGGTGTGAGAATGCTGAATTTTAGTTTCATGTAAAATGTCTCTTTTAGTACCTAAGTTGCATCAGTGTGGAGTTGAAATTAATTAGTGAATTTCAGGGTTCTTGTTGGTGTTTGATTATGTGCTTATCTTGGCGATGTTGCAGGAAGCGAAGATACCATTCCCGTCGCATTCAGCGGGATGTGATCAAGAAGAGAGCCCTGATTGGGGATGACGTTGGCTTGACGTCCTATAAACACCGACATTCCGGTAGTTGCCTGCTCAGCTCTTGGGTAGACACATGTTTGGCTCCCGAAATCGTATTTTTATTCTTAATGCAGTCTTTTAAGGTTCCAAACTTTATCATCCTTTCTTCCTTGCCCTCACCCTCTGCCAACATATAGGAAAGTAAGTCAAGTCACGATTAATTTTAAATTGCCCATACAAAGAGGTCAAATGATTTTATAAAAGCTGCTCTAACAAAAAAGGCCAAATGTGATGTAGGGAAAAGACTTTTCTTAGGAATCTGATTTTCTACTGTTAATATCAAAAGCTGCATGAAAAAAATTTTTAAAATTATTTTATCAGATGAGCTGATGTTATTGTTCCTTTATCTGATAGTGAAAAACAGGCTTCCAGGTCTAGTATTTTATGCTTACTGGTTTGTGCACATGAATGCCTCAGTAAAGTGGATTTCTTGACTGGGGTTTCACTTTGTTTTGCTCTTCCTTCCTTCCTTCCTCCCTCCTTCCCTTCCTTCCTTCTTTCTTTGGTACTTTCTGTAAAAGAACCATTTTCATTATGTTTTATAAAGATTTCTTTTTATTTTGGACCTAATCTGTGGACTCATTTACATGCTTTGTAGAACTAGCTAAGTCGGTTTATAAACATGGAATAACATGTATACACATTTATCATTGTAATAGGGACAGGGAGAGATGAAGTTACCATATTTAATGTCTAAGTCCAAAGTTGCATATTTGAAATCTACATCTTCAAGATGCTTATACTTTTCTGTTGCAGTTAAACTTCTCCAATTTCAGTTACTCTAAGATACTTTTATCATATCATCATTAAACTAAAAGCAAATTGCCCCTAATTCTAGCACTCTAATAAAATACTCATTTCATTTTAAACTTTTCCTTTTTGTCTCTTCATAAGTATAATTGTGAACATATATTTTATATTTTTCCACATATAAGCATTTTTCTATGACCTTGGAAGTTACAGCTGATTTTCATTATTCGTGATGGTTATGTCTATAGAGTCACTGTGATCATTGAAGCAGCAAATTTTAAACCATTCAGAACTTATCATACCATTTTCATCATCTGATCAGTATATAACCTTGTTTGATGTATATTTCTGTTTAAAGATGTTTTATTTATTATATATTGTTGTGCCTGAATGAAGTTTATCTATCTGTTTAAAGATGTTTTATTTATTATATATTGTTGATTCATTAATGTTGGACTCACGGCCAACAGCACTATAACTCATGCCTGAATGAAGTTTATCTAACATATATTTTCTTTATTAGGCACAATACAGACCTCTTAGGAAGTACTTAGGAACAGTAGACAGTTTCAGCACTACATTTGGAGGCCATTTTAAACAGTGAAATCACCAACAAAGGCCACAAAAATGTGAAAAATGTGGCACTCACTAGATGGCAAAAAGAGCACTTGCTTACAATACAAATGCTGACACAAGAAGCCACATTGTTTGACCTCAGCTGGGAACAAGCATGTCTGGTGTCTCAGATTTTTTACCACTCTAAACATATCCACAAATGACCACAGAAGTGCTTTGCGTGTTGAATTTGGAGTTACAAATAAATTTGGCAAATTCACAAAAAAAGAATCTGTGAATAATGACAGTCAACTATATTTTGGGTAATATCCATCAGCCTGCTAGATCATACTTTACCTGGCCATTCTCCTGTTGTAGGTATCAGAGTAGCAACCAGATTGGCACTGTTACAGATAATGCTTCAAGAAGCTCTCAGGCATGGGCACCTCATCTTTTAAAAAGATCCCAATGCAGAGTAGAAAATCAGATTTGTTAGTAGAAAACCTCATGTTTTCTGGTTAAATTTCTAGGACTGGTGAATGTTCCTGAGGAACCCATTGAAGAGGAGGAAGAAGAGGAAGAGGAGGAGGAGGAGGACCAGGACATGGACGCAGACAACAGGGTGGTGGTAGAATACCACGAGGAGCTCCCAGCTGTCAAGCAGACTCGGGAGCGGAGCGCATCTAGGCACTCCAGTGCCAGCAGCTCAGACTCAGATGAAATGGACTATGATCTAGAACTGAAAATGATTTCTACTCCCTCACCAAAGAAAAGCATGAAAATGACTATGTATGCTGATGAAGTGGAATCTCAGTTGAAAAGCATTAGGTAAAAGTATTTATTCTTTTTTTCAGATAATCATGTTTATTTATCTGTTCTAATTTAGTCCTTTGGAGAATGTGAATAAAAGAGTACATTTTTTTCCTTTAAATATACAAAAAGTGATATTTGTTATAAAAACTAGAGAATACAGAAAGGGAAAACCACCTGTAATTTCATCCTTTGCTAAGGTAACAGCTGCTAGCAATTGAGTGAATAAACTTCCTGCTAATTTTATGTATATACATAACACATGGAGAAATTATAGATATATTTGTACAAAAATGAAATTACTATGCTATTTGTGTTTTTTTGCAGCATGCTTTTTCCATTTAATATGTTGCAGACATCTGCTGTTTTTCAACTGTATCTGGTATTGTTTGAAAGTATCATGATTTATTTAACCAATCAACTAAGGTTAAAGTCTAGGGGTGCTCTCTTTAAGTATTCTTGGTGGTATATTTGGGAAAAGGAAAAAGACATTCTAGCTGGTTTGTTTGTATGGCTTTGTTCACATCCTTAGTTTTAGTTTTTGGAGAGCTTGCTGGTGGTGACTGCTGCCAGAATGACGCTGGCCCCTAGTGTGGTAGCAGATGTGGTTTGACAGAGAAGTCTGCCCTTTAAAGAAGGGGATGGTAGACTCTCTTGTATTTTGACTGCAACCATATCAGAGCCTGGGTGAGCAGAGAGCCCCTGTAGGCCTGTTTGTCCCAGAAGAAGAGAGGGGACTCATGATCACGTGCTCTTTGATGGCTTACAGATATAAGTGGAAACCACCCTGGAAAACTCAGGAACCTGCTTGTCCCATCTGGTCTCTTCACAACAGGCTGATCATGATTTTTGTAGGCAAATAATTATCAGGGTCTGGTATTTGTAAATGAATGTTGGCCGTATTAGATTGGATTTCTTAAATTGTTTTCCAAAATATATGAGGTTGTTTCATAGGCATCATCCCACAGTTGACATTGGTTAATTATGTCCTTTTTTTTTAAAGGAACTCCATGAGGGCAGATACTGTATCCACAAGCAATATCAAAAACCGAATCGGTAACAAATTACCAACTGAGAAATTTGCAGATGTCCGACATCTGTTAGATGAAAAACGCCAGCACACGCGTCCACACCACCTGGGCAGCAGTGCTAAGTCAGGTATTGTCTGGTCGTGTCTCTGGGCTTCACTCTTGAGCTCTAGAGAGCATATTGGGGCAGGGATGGGTCCTTGGATAGAATGGTGCCTCTTATGGACTGCTTTAGTTGTCCTGGTTCATCATGTCTAGGTTTTGGATCAGGCATTGGAACTTTAGGACATGAAAAATAATCAGGTTTTTGCATTCCTAACCTTCAGTATTTTTATCTCAATTATTTTACTATGCCTGTCATTGGTATACTTTGTACATAAGGACAGTAGGAAATTAAGCTGAGTTGCTTTATACATGGTTAAGAATTTGAACTAGATAGCTTATATGTGCAAATAGGATACAGTACTTGGCCACGCATGCTGTATGCCAGGCCCTGGGCTTGCTGCTGGCAGTGTTAGGGGTTTGTGGAGGGGATGCAAAGTCATCAGGAACTCAGATGGAGAAACACGGGTGCACACATTCAGATAATTCTACCCCAAAGAGGAATGGAGTAACTGCTCTAAAAAGTATATAGGCAGTGGGCTGTGGGAGCAGAGAGGGGTGGGAAATCTACAGGGAGAATTGTGGAAGGCTTCTTAGAGAAAGTGGCCTTAGAGGGAGGCCTTGCGGGGAGAATAGGACCTGAGTTGGCAAACCTAGTTTTTGAAGATGGGATGTAACCTGATCTTTATCTGGTTTGGAAAGATTATTTGGTGGCAGAGTGGGAGTAGGATAGAGAGTTAAGTGAATAACAAGGACCCAAACTAGATCCGGGTCAGTGGAGACAGAGTGGGTGACAGAACTTCAGACCTTGGAAAGGAAGAAGACTCAGCACTGGGCAGTGAGGGAGGGAAGGGAGAGAAGCCGAGGGCTCAGGTCTGAGGGGTGAAGGATGGGGCTGTACTCTTGAGACAATAAGCAAGGTGGGTTAGCCCAGCGCGGTGAGGTCCTTAGAAGCCTGGTATTGTTAATGGGAACTTGGGAGGACAGGTGGCTCTCAGGGGGGGTTGGAGGAAAAATAGGTTTGATTTGGGGTATCTTCCCCTGATCCTTTGCTTTTTGCCAATCTCATTATTGTTAAGTATAATAAGTTTATTGAGAACTTCTTATATGTTCAAAGATTATGGCTTCTGCCCTCAGGGAGCACAGTATTGCTTGTTAGCTGAAATGTTTGTAAATTATGTGGTGTGCTTGGTTCTACTAAAACAAAAAGCAAAACAGTTGATTTTGCCTTCGAAATTCCTTTCTGGAGCAGTCACCTGAGACACTTTCTCCTCAGGACAGCTGTGTCTGGCTTTTTCTAGGGGAATCGGACTGACTATGCAGAGAAGAGGCTTTGAGAAGCTTGATTTTGTTGGGCGCTGTGTCCCCAGCCTGGGGAGACCTGGCACTGGGCTGTGTGGAGGCCGCGGGCTGACAGCATGGAGAGCAGAGCACGTGCGCTTGGTCATAGCAGTCCTTTGTTTCTTTTCCTAGACATACGCCAGAGGCTAGGAAAGAGACCATATTCTCCGGAAAAGGCTTCTGGTAGTAACCCGGTCGTTCGGAGAGAGCCCTTTTCTGATGTACATAGTAGGCTAGGTGTTCCCAGGCAAGATGTTAAAGGCCTCTACTCTGATACTCGGGAGAAGAAATCAGGTTGGTAACACTTGTAACTGACGGGGATGGGACTGGGTAAGAGGAGAGACAATGGGTCTATCACACAAAGGCTTTGTTTGCAGAAGAAAGGAAATAGTATATGCCAAAAATAAGTGATTTTTTCTCCATTATAATCATTTTTATAATAATAGTAAGAATGGTAACAGTGTGGAAAATTTAGAAAATGGGGGGAGAAAACCTACCCCTGGTTCTTTCTGTTTAGCACAAAAATAATGTTTAGTTTCATATAGGCTATTCCAGTCTTTGTTGATAAACAATATCCTACTTTTTTTATGTAGCATTTTATCATAATAATTTTTCCACATTGTTGTATTCTTTATAAATAAAACTTTTAGTTGCCTTATAGTGTGGCTGTGCTATGAAATTCTAAACATGTATTTCTCTATTAGATGTTAATAAAGTGTATTTTAAAAATTAATGGATAGTGGGCAGAATCTCTGAAAGTTTACAGTGTAGCAGGGCCATCAGTTTGCAAAGTGTTACAGCTGGGAATCATCTGGGAATGCGCCATTCCTGGCAGAATGAAGCTATGCGCACAGCATGGTGAGTCTCCCCAGGGAGGGACAGGTGTAGTAAATAGTTTCCCAGGTGATTTGGATGGACCTAGTGTGGGGGCCACATGGCGCCCTGCCGTGAGACTCTCCCACTGGGTCCAGTCCCTCAGTTTGCAGTCTGGGGCCTGCAGCCAGGGAAGCGAGAGCACCCCTCCGAGACTGCACAGTGGCTGCAAGTGCCACAGACACCCTGGTACTTCTTGCGTATCATGTGCTGGTAGTTCCCCAGCCTCCTCGGTACCTCCCTGTTTCTCAGCATTAACCGCCAAAACTGAAGTGCCTTCTCATCCAAACAGGTAGTTTATGGACTCGCTTAGGATCCGCACCCAAGACCAAAGAAAAGAACATGAAGAAAGTGGATCACAGGGCGCCGGGCACTGAGGAGGATGACTCTGAGCTGCAAAGGGCGTGGGGGGCTCTGATCACGGAGAAAGAACAGTCTCGCCAAAAGAAGAGCCGGTTAGATAACTTACCATCTCTTCAGATTGAAGTTAGTCGGGAAAGCAGCTCTGGTTCAGAGGCAGAGTCCTGATGCCCTTGGGGCTGAGGGCAGCTGCCCCAAAGCCTGCCATTCCTCCGCGGGGTGGGGCGCACAGAAGGAGCCTCCCCCTGCAGGAGCTGGCGCCCCTCCTGCTCTTACACAGTCACCCTCAGCTCTTGCTCCTCCAGCAAGACATCTTAAGAATGTGACATGTTTGAAGGGCATCTATCTTTTGCTGCAGAGTTATAGTTCTGGGCCCTCAATTCTTTTCCCACCACCCCACAAGCTTTAACCCTTTGAGGGAAAGGCAGCCCTCCAAATTTTGTAGACATTTTTCTTAATATTTTTAACATGTGTCTTTTAAAAGAAATGTTTTACACAATTCATCCAAAGAGCAGAGAACTGAACTTCTCACTATTGCCTTGGCCCTGACAGCTGTTACCAGCACCCTTTTCCCAAGAAAAGTCAATTCCCAGGTGCTTATTGGACAGCCTTCGAGGGGGAAGATGAGGGAAGCTGCCAGCTCACTCTTCCAGGACCCTAGTGTGGGGTCGAATCTCATGGACCTGACCTCAGAGGTGCACCAGTGCCGCCAGGTAGATAAGAGACGCAGCGTCGGTCATGCTTCCGTTCTTCCCCGGGAATTTCTGTCAGGGGCCCCTTATTAGCCATCAGCTTGAGTGAAGACCCAAGTTCAGTGCTGTGGGATTTTTAGGAACAAAAAACTGTGACTTCTGGATTTGGGGTGAATTTTTGTGCTAGGGGCAGGGTCATGGGTTAATGTTGAATAATTTTTAAGTCTGTATTACGTTTAAAAAATATTGATTTAAAAGTTTAAATTTTTAATTTTTATATGTGAAAGTACTTCCTGTTGGCTACAAAGGAAGCTCAAGTGGTGTCTTCTTATGTGCTGTTAAATATATATTATATACTTTGGAAGAAGGCAAAGAGAGGAGTCTCATTATTTTTAAATGATCCTAATTGTATAATCTGTTGTACATAGAATTCAACTTGCTTTTTTGGCCACTGTAGGAAAAAGAATCTGTCCATCTGAGATGGGGGTCCTGTAGTTTATTATTACTTGAGAAGTGATACATTGATATTTATTCTTTCTGTCTCCAAGTTCTGGCACCTAAAGATATCTTCAAAACTGGCAAGTAAGATAATAGTTCTAGAAATTTTAGTTCATTTATTTCTAAACTTCTTACAGATTATTTTACCATGGAAAGACAGTAGATGATTTTGTCTTTCTGTCTGATTTTTATTTTGAAGTATTTAATGTTTGTATTCCTCTGCAGGCTTAAGAATAGTCTTTCACTTGAATTCACTAAAACTTAGGACTTGGAGATAAGTCCCCTTTGTGATGTCTCAGCTCCTCACCTTTCTGGTGTGTTTTGGTAGCCTATACAGCCCTGGATCCTGGGCATCTTGTAGCTGAACTAATAGTCATGTTGGTAGTTAATTACAGTGCAGTGTGACTAAATGCAGAACACTGCTGTGAATAAAGTAAAGGGCTGTGGAACTCATGGAGGATATGTTCGTGCCTCCTAATAAGATTTTAGTAAAGAGATGGTTCTGGTTTCTCTGTCAGCTGAGACTTGAAGTTTTTGAGATTTCTCAGCCCCGTGTAGCACACGGCTGAGAGCCAAGTTCTTGAGGAGGTCAGGGGAGTTGAGGAGCTGGTAGAGTAAGAAGTACAAGGGCCTGAGAGAGACCTGGATGCCAACCCCTGCCTCTGCTCCGTGGGCCTGGGCCTCAGTTTCCTCATCTGGCAAATGGATGGGCAGGTAACCAGAGCTTCTGGCTCTGTTGTGCATCCAGCAGTGTTCTGCTCTTCCCCAAGCTATGGCTGCGGTGAGCAGGCTAGCGCTTGTTTCTGTGGCAGGTTGGGGGAGGCTTGAGGGGACAATTGAGGAAGTGTATGAGGTTGTGGACAGGGATTTACCCCATCCCATCCCCAAATAGTCTCTGGGTCTTCTAGTGGGACAGAGATGTCCTGTGGTCAGGGTCGCAATTACTGTAGTCTCTGCGGTTTTCATAAAATGCTTCCTCTTGGACTTCCCTTTGTTTCCCAGTCATGACGCTTTTGGGCCTGTCTGTCCTATGGCCTTTTAGCCCTGGCCAGTCTCCCTTTCTGGAAGGGTAGTGGTGTGTAGTCAAAACTAGCTCTTGGATCTATAAGAAAAATGCCTACTTCAGCATCCTGCAGTTCTCACAGAGAACCCAGAAAAGTATCTTCAAAGATTTTATTTCCCAAAGGTATAGGCCTTGGCCTCTTGTGCTGTCCAGTCACACTCAGGTACTCAGGTCTTGCAACATCTTGGCCACCCCTGAAGGCCCAGGCCCTTTCTGTGGATTTTGGGGGCAAGGGTGGCAGTCAGGACAGTCCCCTGGCAGGCAGCTCACCTTGCTTCTCTCCCAGGCACTCTTCGTGCATATGTATACATGATACAGTACCACACACTTTTCTGTAGTCCTCTCAGTCTCTGTGTGGATAAAATTTAAATATATTTTTGCTGCTTGATAATAAATGCAGGTACCTCAGTTCTGTTTCCCACTGTCCCTCTTGGGAGCAGTATCAGCTACCCAGGAGAACTTGGGGAACCCACAAGATGGAACCTCCCCTCCCCTGGCCGCGTCCAGGCCATCTCATGAATCCCTCCCTTAGTTCTACCTCTTGTTGTCTCCCCCTCCATCCCCGGAACTGGTCTCTGCCCTGTCTCTCCATTCTACACGCTGCAGCTGGGGTGAACTTTTGTTCTTAGCAGCTTCTTTGAGATGTCATTTACATAGCATACAGTTTACCTATTTGAAGTGTGCACCTTCAATGACTTAGTATATTCACAGAATTATGCAGCCATCACCATGAACAATTTTAGAACATTTTCATCACCAAAAAGCAATCCTGAACCTACTGGCAGGCATTCCCAGTTCCCTTTCCCCCCGCAACCACTAACTGACTTTCCGTCTCTATAGATTGGCCTGTTCTGAACATTTCCTATAAGTGAAATCAGACTCTTTATGGCTATTTGTGACTGGCTCCTTTCACTTGCATAATGTTTGCGACTTCATCAGTGGTGTAGCCGGTGTCAGCACTGCGTTCCCTATTGTTGCTGAGTGAGGGACCGCTGCGTGGGCACATTGCTTTTTGTGTATGCGTTCACCAGCTGGTGGGGTTTGGGTTGTGTCCACTTTTTGGCTGTTATGAATAACACTGCTGCAAACATCCATGTACAAGTTTTTGGGTGGATGTATGTTTTCATTACTGGGTCATGATGGTAACTCTGTCTTTAACTTCTTTAAGAACTGCCAGACTGTTTGCCTCAGTGGCTGCATCATCGTCCATTCCGCCCGCAGTGTACGAAGGTTCCGACTCTTTCATCTCGTCATCAGCACTTATCATTGTTGCAGTGGTATCCGTCGCATTTGGGTTTGCATTTCCCTGATGACATGTGTCATTGGCAACTTTTCATGTGCTTCAGGAAGAGCTTTCTTAAGAAAGTTGTTCCTGTTATTTCTCTGTTTAAACCCTTTCCAAAACTTACCCATTTCCCTTGGGGTACATTCCGGACTCCTTTGATAGCTCACAAGGCTGGTCAGTTTCCAGCCTCTGGCAGTGTCTCTGGCCTGTTCCCCCATCGTCCCTTGCCTGCTGCTCCCTAGTGCCCAGACCCATCTGGATCTCACCAGCCTTCCGGACTCAGCTCACTGCATTTCTGCCACAATGACACACTCCTCTGGGCCTTTCCTTCCTGCCTCAGCCTTGCCTCCTCCCCAAGGACTTAGAGGCTGCTCGAGACCCAGAGCGGGGCTATGGGCACCTGCTATGTGTCCCATAGTACACCGCCATGCAGGAGTCTTGGCTTATTCCAGGGTGAGGTTATAAAGTCAGGCCTAATAAAAATTGAGTGTAAATTCTTCTTGGAAAGCCTGAGGAAGTTGCCATGTTGAAGGCCAGTGTCACTAGGTCCAGTGTGGTTGGCTCCTGCCAGTGTGGGAATAGATCATGGTTTCTTTGGCTGAGCACCAGATAGAGTGGTTGGCCTGCAATTAGGGCTATGTTGTACAAAAAACACTTACTTTTAGGTGTTAGACTCACACTCAGGCAAGTGGCTCACTTTTGAAGAGGCTCTTGGGAATGAGATGGGTCACAGGAGCAGCAGAGGCACAAGACAAGCTTGCTTCAGGCCCTCCTGCCTGTCTGTTCAGTGAGTGGAGGAGCAGGTGGAATGGCCCAAATGACTTAAAATTGTTTTCCTTTCTCCTTGTCTTTTTTTTTTTCTAACTTTTTTAGACAAATACCATGGTGTTTGCCTAAGGTGAAATGTGTGTATAATGCCAAATCTCTGTACCCTCCCCACCAGCCCAGCATACCTATACACTGGATTGTAATTCTCTGTTTCTATTTTGTGTTTTTGCTACACTGTAAGCTCTGTGAGAGCAGGGACCTTGTGTGGCTTATTCATAGGGGTTTCCCTAGTCCTAGTATGATGCCTGGCACCAGGCAGGTCGTCCATTGATGTGTGATGAATGTGTAAACCCCCTAGCTGCAGACCAGCTCCATTCTGAGGCCTGGGGTCTTCTGGGATCCTGTTATATAGGTTAGGCCTCATTTTTCTGCCTTGTACACATAACACTTTTGTTTTCATGTTTTATTCTCCCTGCTAGCCTGTGAGCTCCTAAGGGGCAGATGTCCTTATGCTGTTACCTGTTTTCTTACCACATCAGTCAGAGTAAGTAGTGCTTCAAAAGGGTCTGGTGAATGAATGAGTTACTGTAAACGAACCCAGCTCTGGTACCTTTGTCTGTAGGCTGGTCTAACTCTAGCTGAGACAACCACATTCAAAAAGAGGAAGATTATTCAGAAGTACATAAACTGTACTTATAGAAGAAGAAAAATCTCATTAATTAGATCTTCATAAAATCTAAGTTTGGTATGTGGCCGTATCTGAGCTGAAGCTTACTGAACTCTATAATGAATTTGCTAGAGAATCATGCATAGTTCAGAATATTTTTTAGAAAGCATTTGTCTGTCTCAGGAGAGCAGGAAAGGAAGCTGGCAGGTGGATAAAAGGCCCAAAGAGGGACTGCTGAGCCTTTTCTAGCCTCTGGTCCTATTGTTGAGGAAAGTGACAGCAGTTCAAAGAAGGTGGGAAGAAACAATTCATTCCCGGCAGCAGCTCTTTTGCCTAAAACAGCATTCCAGACCTCACATGGAGCATTCTTAAATTTTGGTGAAATGCTAATAGGCAGTTTGGATTAAAGTCAACAGCAAACTCTGCCTTCACAGATTAATTGCTGTATAAATAAGTTTGATGTATAAGCATTTACTTTTAAACCTTATATAACAAGAAGTAAAGAGAAATTAAACTGTTTTTTTTTTCTTTTAAGAACTAAAAGGACAGTGTTTTTGCGAATCTTGAGAATAGTAGATTTGCTCCAAGGTGAATTGTTATTGTATTATCTGACCAACACTAATCTAGAATTCTTACATGTTTATAAAATAAATCTTAGAAGAAAAAATACTGTAGTATTTTAAAAAATGAAATTCTGTTAACATTTCACAGAACTTTGATGTTTCTGGGAGCATTTAGGGAAATGCTGGCTCAAAAGCCTATTTCAAATAGCTGTGAGGTGTTGAAGTGGGATTTTGCTGTGCTGTAAATAAAACTCTCAAGTATGGGTGGTATTTAACCTGCCAAAGTCAATACTCTGCCCTGGGCTCTTATCTGCTTTTGTTTGAGCAATTTTAGAGGCTCCAACAGTGGAGACTGTCTGTCACCCTCGGCCCTGGACCAGTGCAGGTTAGTGAGGGTAGGATGCCCATACCATTGGCAGGAGAGGAGACCATGCCTTTTGTCCCTTTTTGGGTTATTGTGTGTTTAATCCTGTGATACATCTCTTCTTGTCATTGGCAAGGTTTCTCAGAGGGCCTTTGAGCAAAAGGCAGCACTTTTAGCTCAGGTAGAGTGTCTTCTTGGAATGGTCAAATAGGATGGTGCTGGGGCTGGGCCTGGAGCCCTGGGGACTCATTCTGTCTCACATATAAACTAGAAAAGCCTGAGCAAGTCCCTTCACCTCTCTGGACCTCGGTTTTCCTGTCTGTTAAATGAGGGGCTTGGCTAGGAGGATCTCCAGGTTTCCTTTTAGTACTAATATGAATTCTGTGTTTTTGCTGTACTTTCCCAGGGAGCGTCAGGAGTGTATGTTGGGCAGGAAGGAGTTGGCGGCTGGCAAGAGAACTCAGTCCTTGGACCCTTTGTTCCATGACTCTGTACCATCCCCATCCACAGCCTTTCAGTTGTGAAAGGACCAGAGGATCACTTGCTCCCTCCCCACCAAGCCCCCTCCCAACACACACACACAGACACACACACACACAGAGCAGTTGTGCATTAGTTCAGGCCACCATAACAAAATACCACAGACTGGGAGGCTTGAACAACAGAAATTTATTTTCTCACAGTCTGGAGGCTGGAGGTTGAAGATAGGGTACCAGCATGGTCAGGTTCTGGTGGGGCCTATCATCCCCATCAGTTGTGTAGGCATGTAGATGGCTGTCCTCTCACTGTGTGCTCATATCTCCTTTCCTTAGCGCATGCACAGAGAGAGAGGTCTCTCTTCCTCTTCTAAGGCCACCAGGTCTATTCAATTAGGGTCCTACCCTTATGAGCTTAATTATTTCTAAAGGCTGTTTCTCTAAATATTGTCACATTGGGGGATTATAGTTTCAACACACAAATTGGGTGGGGGGCCAGTTCAGTGCATGGCACCCAGTAATGTGAGGGTCCCAGTATATGTTTGTGCAGTGAGGCCCCTGCTTTTAAAAAGCTCACAAACTGGGAGAGATTTAGACCCATGGGTCTGAAGGCTGTAGGGTTGGTAGTGGTTCAGAGTACTGGTTCTGAAGGAAACAGATCTACTTGAGTCCCAACTCTGCCACTTACTAGCTTTATGGCCTTGGGCAAATGACTGGATCTCTGTGTCCAAGCCATCTTCCTCCTCTGGGAAGTCAGGGTAGTTGAATAGGGTGGCTGTGAGGATCAGGTAGGTGAGGGCTTGCCTGGGAGGCCCTGGGCACTGAGTCTGGTGCCCCCTCCTGTGCACTCGGCCCAGGGTGGGGATTCCTGTTGCTCAGTAGGCCCCAAGCTCCCCTTTGCCAGCTCTCCTCCTTGCGCTCCTGTCTCTAGTCTCAGTCATGTCCTCACTCTTCCAGAGTCCCTCTTCCCAGCCTGCTAGGCCTCAGAGGACAAGTGGTAATTAGAAACATGTCTTGCATCTGTCCAGAGGCTGGGAGGTAAGACCGTGGGGACAGCCCCCTCCGTTGGCGAGGACAGACACCAGGGCTTGTGTTACTCTTGGGACCAAACTGTTAGTTCTTTCACCTCAGGCTGGACAAATCTCCACCCCATGACTTTTAAAACACTTTATTTTGAAATATTTCAAAATTACAGAACATTGCTAAGGTACAATAATGAACACATTGCCACGTTTTATCATCTGATTCTCCTCCTTCCCTGTTGGAGAGTTACCACGCCCATCGTGTCCCTTTATTCCTAAATATTTTAGTGCCCGTTTCCTAAGAACAAGGGCAGTCTCCCATATGCCTGTGGTATGGGTGATCACATTTGTGAAATGTGAGGTGTTTTTTTTTTTGAGAGGTATCTCTCATATTTATTGATCAAATGGTTGTTAACAACAATAAAATTCTGTATAGGGGGGTTAATGCTCAAAATGTGAGTTTTATTTGATCAGCACAGTAGTTCTAATCTGCAGTTCTTGTTCAGTTTCACCAGCTGTCCCAGCAATGTTTTTTAAAGCAGTTCTTTTTCTTGCCTGGGATCCAGGCCAGGATCACACACTGCATCTAGTGTCTGTCTTTAGTCTCCTTTAATCTGAGTCATTTCCTTAGCCTTTCTTTTCAGATATTGACGATTTTGAAGAGTCTGGTCCAACTATGTTATATAGTTTATATAATGTCCCTCAGGTTGGTCCTTTAATATTTATTTAAAATGAGTTGGGAAGCCATGTCACATACCTTTTGTGTGTACTTGCTGAACTACCAGGCTTGCATGAGGTGCTGTGAGTGGGAGTATTACACAGCACAGGCTGGTTCTGCCCTTGGGATCATAAGTTCGAGTTGTGGGGACAGCAGTTATATCAGAGGGCTGAAGGGCCCCTTGTGCACTCATGATTAGGGGTCTGCCATGCTGGCACCAGCAAGCTCAGATAAATACATTTTAGATGAATGCAGGATGAATCGGCATTCCAGAAGTCTCCAGAAAATGGCCCTGTACCGGTCCAGCACCCAGTCATCAGCTTTGCCTGCTCTCCTGAAGTCCACACTCCAAACTCGAAGTCCTGCTTCTCAGAAGTCTCCAGCGAGCTACAGTCCTGGATGTTGGCTTGTCCCTACTGCTGATCTGTGGCCTGGGACTACTCTCTTCCCCCTCTGGGTCAGGGATGGGGAGAAGAGCCCCTCATGGTTCTGCCAAGTGCGCCTTGCACTCTGAACAAGTGAGTGCCGGGTTGGGAGAGTCACTGAGCTCTGGAGTGGTAGGAAGACAGGCCAGGATTCTGGCCCGTGACAAGGTTAAGCTGACTCGGATGGTCTTCATTGTGATCTGGCAGACAAATCGTCCGACCTGGACCTTCACTTTTTCAGCTGTTTAAGTTCTCTGTTGGAATGTATACAGTGTGAAAAATAGTGAATTGTGATCTCTATTCAAATAACCGTGTTCCATCGGGAAACTATCATACCTGCTGTAGGTATTTTGTCAGACCAAAGCGGACAATGCAGAAATGTTCTGAGTGTCATCGATCTTTACAGAGCTTTGGCCAAGCAAGTTTTCAATGTGAGAAACAGAATAAAATTGATTTTCATCTAGTCATTAAGTCAACACCATTGCCTGCTATGTTTTACCACATTAACACTTCCAAATGCTGTTCCTGGGGTTGCATACATTCATGTTAGAGAGAGAGACACAGAGTTCTCTGCCCTTTTTAAATGCAAGTTAATTAAATTAAACTTAAAATTCAGTTCCTTAGTTACACTGGTGACATTTCAGGAGCCCAGTAGTGTGCTGGACAGTGCAGGTCTAGAATGTCAGGTGGAGATCTGCTGGACAGGGCTGCTCTGCGTTCCTGAGAAGCAGGGGTGTGGGAGGAACTTCCTTCTGTGACAGCCTTGGGCACACAGGGAAAGTCTGACAAACTGTGAAGGTAGCATTTTCATGATGGCTGCAGACTGTTGGCAGTTTATCCTCTGGGTGCTGGGCTGGAGCAGAGGTATGCTGAAAGATGTGTGGAATTTTACTTCTTCCTTTGTTCTGGTAACTCAGAGCTTTGTTAAATTCATTCCGGTATCACGGTGCTGTAGCCAGGTTTTAAAGAGAATGCTGCCAGTTTTAGTTAGTGTATTGAGTCTCTCACCTGGCCTTCCACAGCCGCAGGGCTTTGAGGGCACCAGTTTCTAGCTGCGGGGCACTTCCTGTGGGAGGGGGCTCCATTCTCATTGCTGAGGCAGCTGCCACCAAGTGCCCTGGGCTGGGTGCTGGGGTGAGGCATCCACTGGGTTCTGGGGCAGGGCAGGGGTTTGAGACTTGCACCCCCAGATGAAAATGGTTGGATTCATACAGCTCCTGCTCCTCAAACATCTCCCGAGGACACCAGAGCTGTGTTCCCAGGTCAAACCTCAGCTCACGCTTCCAGAAAAGTGTGGGTGATGGAACAGGGCTGACAGGTGTCTCTGCGATCCTAGGACCTAGCTCCCTGGGTCTGAGGAAGCCACACACCCGGCTGTGTGCTAGTGGGAGCGTTTGCCTGCCTGTGGGTCCTTGCCTGTGTGCCTCTGCCCCGCCTCCCGGCCACCAGCGAGGAGGGGAAGCTGAGTAGGCCAGGGCCCTGTGCTGCCTCTGCTCCAGCTAGGATGTGGCTCTTCCACGTTCTGCTCTGCATGACCAGTAAGTCAGCCTTACCCCCTGCCTGAGGGGCTGCTGTGCCCTCAGCATAGCCTTTGTGTGTCTGTCTGTCTGCTTGAAGGGGCTCAGTCAGAGCCAGAGCTCAGAGAAAGTGTGGGAGCTTCCCCAGGGGGATGTTCTTGCTCCGTGGGCCAGATCCCCAGGCCTGCTCTGAAGGGCCTCTGGTGCTCTAGTAACAGTGCTGACACGTCTTCAGGCTCTAGAGCTCTGCCACCCTGTTACCCTCCAGCCATCCACCCCTCCCCAGCACCCACTCCAGGCAGGTCCTCAGGCCCCTGCCGGGTTTGCTGTTGGGGTGCGGAGGCTGAGGACATGCATCCTGCCCAGCAGAGCAGTCTGAGCTAAGAGTTCAGCCGAGGAGGGTGAGGACCCTGTGAGAAGGTACATGCTGATGAGAGCAGGGGCATGTGTCTGTGGGGTGGAGGGCGAATGCTTCCTGTCGCTGGTGTTAGGGTCAGTGTGAGGACCTGCCTTGGGGGAGGGGGCACTCCCTCTTCCCACTACTTGGAGGTCCCTGGGGGCCTTTAAGCCTCTCATGGTAGCCACCTGGGGCAAGCCAAGCCAGAAGCCTGAACCTGCCCAGGGGCCCCAGGTATGAGATTGAGCATGGCCAGCAACCCCCTGGAGTAGATCACGTCTGAGGCAGGGTGGTCCTGCCTGATGATCTGAGCAGTCATCCCAGGGATCTTTTGCCCTTGTCAGAAGCTTGACAGGAATGAGATGGACATCAGGCAGTATAGTTTTGAGGCTCCTGGGAACCTTTTCTCCCTGAAGGAGGGCAGGGACCAGCAAGTTAGGGCCAGACAGTGTCTGAGAGAGCTGAGTGCATGCTGAGAGGGGATTAGCATCAAGGGTGGGAACAGATCACCAAGGAGCAGGCTGCAACATGCGTGAAGTACCAGCAAAATGTGTTCTGGGATATGTGTGATATTTGATATTCAGAGTAGTCATGGAAAGGTAAAAATTGTGCTCAACTCCTTTTCCTTACTTTATAGTTCAGACTTAACTATTTTCAGTTACATACCTGGTGAGAGGGTCTCATGCTTTTTTGGCTTATGGCTTTGATCTCCTGTCACCAAGAATGTCCAGAGAAGATGCTTAGCCTAGACTGTACTCCCCAGTACAGAGGAGGTTAACTGAGTCCCAGAGAGGGGCAGTGACTGTCCAGGGTTACAAGCAAGTAGAAGCGAGCCTCAAGCCCAGGTCTCTGTCCCTCCTGCCAGCTCTGGAATACCCCACGGCCTGGGACACTAACCCTGGGTCACTGGGCTGCTTGCTCATCTGTTTCCTGTGGCTTCTGGACTGACCAGCCGTCACCCAGCATGTTTTTTCCGAACGTCAATCCAGATATCACTGAACCCTTTCAGAGGCCTAGGCACTTCTCATGCTGACAGACAGCAGAGAGCAAGACGGAGCAATGACAGGCTTGTAGTGACATCACTTACGGGAAGAGGGTGAGAGCCCGGCCCCAGTGCTCTAGTCTGACTGGGAGAAGTGAAGCTGTGGTAGTTCTGCCCCGAGCTGTGAGGCCCTGAGACTTAGGGACGGACCAGCCCTGAAGAGCTCCCTAGAGGAGGTGTACCTGCAGGCTTAAGGGCTGGGACAGTCTGAGGAAGTGACAAGGAGATGGCTAGGAGGGTGGGAGGAACCCCTCAGGCTGTGACCCCGGGCGCGGGGCGCCCTGCACCCTGTAACTGGCTAGGCCTCCCTAGGCTGGAGAGCATCCAGATCCTTCCTGGCCTGACCCTGACCTTCCATCCTCGGGCCGCCCACTATGCTGATGTCTACTTCTCATTGTCTAAAGAGGTTTCGCGTTAAGTGCAGATACCCAGAAACACGGAAGCCCTGGAGCTCGCCCTGTCGCCGAGCAGCCTGCTGTCCCCTGTCAGGCCCCACCTTGACTCATCCTGTGAGCGTGGGCACTCACTTCTCCCTGGGTCTCAGGTCGAGTCCCCATCCTCTGTGTGAGGAAGGGGACTATACTGTCAGCCTGTAAAGCCTGCAGTGATGAAGAAGGAGCCAAAAGCCCAGGGTCGGCTCTGCTCTCGCACCAACTTCAGGCTGAAGCCTGGGGCCCGGCCAGGGCCTGCTGGGGGAGGGGAAGGTATCAGAGCTGGCTCTGTCTGAGGTATTACCTCAGACCTGTGTGCAAGTGGGTGATAGAAGATCTTGGCCTTTGGGGATGGGGGTCCACAGTGTCTAAGGCTTGGTGCGCGTGCGCGCACACACACACTGACAGTTGGACCCCATAGTGTCTGATGCTTGGCACACGTGTGCACGCACACACATGGACCCCCTCCAGCCCTGGGGCATTAGGTCTCACACAGTGGGGATGGGGAAAGGCATTCCTGGTGTGGAGTGCAGACCACCTGGGAACCAGCCAGGCATTTCCACCCTTCTCTGGGAGGCTGGCTTGTAGGATTTATATGGGGGGACACATTGGCGGTCAGGCTGGGGAAGTCCAGGGTGGCAATGCGGTGTGTGGGCAGTCTAGAGTGCCAGGCTCTGGGAGCTTGGACCTCACCCAGGGGCCACAGTGGGTCTTGAGCAAGGTAGTGACAGTGGGTGGAAGGTGGACAAAGAGGAGGCAGAGAGGCCACTGAGGAGGCTGTTGACATGGTCCAGTTCAAGGGCATTGGGCAGATGAGCATGGGTAGGAGGAGACTCATGAGAGCTTTATAGGAGGAGAATCCAGAAGCGCATAGTCAGTGCACAGACCTGTGGGCCACTGTCAGGTTGACGGTGAAGTAGGACGGCAGGGGGGTGAGGTTTGGTGCTGAGACAGTGAGGTTCCTGTGTGGGCTGAAGGTGAGCTGCAGATGGCTCTGAGGATTGAGCCTCCCCTCCCCCAGGACCCTCCTGGGTGTTCTGGGCTGGGTGTCAGGGCACCTGAGTCTAGTCCCGGTTCTGCAGCCGGCTCCTTGTATAATTGCAGGCCAACCATGCCCCTTGGGCCTCAGTTTGCTAAACCCGGAGCAGTGCTGTGAGAGTGTGCATTTAAAATGCCCACTGTGATGAGGGAGAGGGGGTGGAGGGGGAGGCAGTGGTAGCTGACAGGATGGAGGGAGGGTCTTATTCTGACTCAGCAGGCCTGTGTGTCTGGCGACAGCCTGGGGGAGGTGGCCCTGTGGGCGGTGTGGTGACAGACACTGGTTCAGCTGGGCTCTCATGTCTGACAGCAAGCGAGGGGGGCTTGAAAAGGAGGCAAGGCTGTCGGAGAGAACGTGACAGCCCTTTGCTTTGTGGTTACAAACACTCCAGCACCGGCGCTCATGCACTGAGCCTCTGGCTTAGGGGATGCTGGGGAGCATTGCTCATTTGCTTCTCACAGCCCGTATCAGATGGGGAAGCTATGGTGAGGCGGCAAGCCAGGGTCCTTCAGACTTGAAGGCACAGTGAAGATGTGTGCTCAGGCCTATCTCCTGGTATTTTCTCTGAGCCTTGGAGGGAAGTGGGAAGGGAAGGGTTACCCTTACCTTTACAGCCCAAGCAAAGGTAGAATGCCGGAGGCCTGGAGGGAGTCTGCTCCAGCAAAGTGGCCCATGCCTGGCCGATCCCAGGGTTCCTGCTGTGACTGGGGCAGCACAGCGAGGAGAGTGACCACTCTGCACATCCTCAGGCCACACTGCCTCCTCAGGAGGGTCTCGCAGACCTAATTACTGGCCCTCTAACTTAGAGCTCGGCCCTATCCGTGAGCTGAGGGCACAACAGGGAGCTATGCCCACCTTCCTCAAGCCATTTGTGACCCTGATCTCTGTTTACCAACTCCTCAGTGCCTCCAGCTTTTACTAAGGGCTTTAGAATTAGGCAGACCTGGGCCCCAGACACAAATATTCAATTTGCTGATGGGCCATGGGCAAATTGCTCTGCGTCTCTGAGCCTCAACACCCAGTACAATGTCTTGGAAGAAG